ACATCAAATCACGTGAGCCTCCCAGTGATGGCGAAGAGTCTGGCTCTAATTCTCCTCAGTCTCCGATGGCCGTGCAAAGACGGTCTCGAATTCGCACCAGTTCGATGTCTTCTGATACTACAGAAAGCAGTGACAGGGTAAGATAATAAGTAAATAAGACTAAAGTAATAACAGTGAGCCATCAGAACAAAGGATGATAACACAACAGTATAATAAGAACTTGAACCTAACAAATGTACACCGGTTGAAACGCGGGAAAACGTTAGTGACCAAGTCACGATTGGTTTTTTCTTAGCATGTGATTGGCCTAATAGGAAGCGTGCTTTTTTTTTTAAGCCGATTACTCAGTAAAGTTAAAATGAAACTGTTGATATCCCGAATTACTTGAATCGATCCTCAGTTGAGAATTTCTCGAAACTCTGACGGCTATTTTGATTTCATTCCAACCCGTTGTACTCAAAGGCAATCTTTAGTTATTACCAGATGCAATTATTCTATTTATCTCCTTCTTATTTTGTTCATTAATTTTTTAGTTTGATTACGCCAGAGATGCTGAACTTGTGAATGTCGTTAGAAAAGATCTGGCCATGGCATTGAAGGCTTTGTTTCAACATGGACTAGTGAGGGTGAGGCACTACTGACTGAGCTTTAGACCCTCTCTGTATTTCTATATCTTCTTCTTTTCCTTTGTTTCATTTTTTAGTTATTTATTTAAGTTGTAAAGTCCTTTAGCCGAAATAGATAGTCGAAAACAAAGCGAATTGGGACTGAACATTCGCGAAATTTCAACCAGGTTCAGATCTTCAGTCTATTGTCATACGTTCATTATTTTAGTTGCCAAGCCCCAAAAATCTGCTCTGCTAAAGTTATCCTTCAAACTAGCATAGCTATTGGACAGTATTGATACGATTTGTTTGTTCAAGTTTACATTTATGTTTTCAGTCTGTCGACAATCGTCTCATATCTTCCAAGTCACTCGTGGCATGTATTGTACCAACAACAAGGTCTTCCTTTCCCAAGAGAATGCATATATGGGAACTTTTCAATGAATATTACGGAATGAAGGTTGGTTTCTCTATGTTAGTTACAGCCATTTAGTTCCACTTGATGACCTTCCCTGCCGAAACTGTACGAGCTCTTCAACGTTTTTTATACATAATCCATGAACATGTACAGTACAACAGAACACACTCTGAAGCCTTGGAGCCATGTTACGACTGACCACGTGTCGTCGGCCAGTTCTTCTCCAGGCTTAGCTCTTTTTTTTGTTCATTTGTGGTGTATTGGCAGTCTTGTTAGGTACCGTAGTTATCTCTGGCTCGTTAGGTTACCCCCTATGGTCAGTAATTTTGAAACTCACTGTTTTTTTTATATCAATATTTGTTAGCATGGTAGAGAATATAATTCTACGCCTGCTAGACGGCTCTCTGAGGCGTTTGGTATCGAAGTTCAAGGTACAAACATCGTCACAGCCAAACAGGTGAGTGTATGTTTCCGAAATATTCATCCTGTCTTTTTTTTTTTCTTTTTTTTCTTCTTTCATCAACGAACCCCTCAAATTCTTTAAGCCTACCATTCTCTTTCCCTTAGGAAATTAATATTGACCATTAAACTGATTCACACGTTAGGCCAATAATAAGTGAGCTCAAGAAGTATTTTCAGCCTCTTGATGTTGACACACCCGTAATTCGGTATTCTGGTGCCTGTCTGATATGCCAGTATTTGTTGCCTCCTACAAAAAAGACTTACACACACCTTTACTCAAGGTTTTTTTTAAATATTGCAATTTATCTTTTTAGACCCTGTTGAGAACACTGCATAGAATAAAAACAACACACGAACCCTGTAGGAGAAGTATGGATGCAATGGTAAGCTGTTAGCTGGAACACCCAGTTCTGTAAATAGATACATATCTTTCTCTGCGAGACTCTAGTTGCAATGAAACATTTTGAGGTAAAATCTCTCTTCTGTAGCATTGATGCTTCTTTATTCGTATCATTTTACAGTCGTCTGAATTTGTGGAAATTGTTTGTGTTCTTTACATTTCACTTGTCGCGTAACGACTCTTCTTCTAATTATTTGTTTTTGTTTTTTATTTCTTTTCCAGTTCAAATCTTTGGTGTGCGCTGGAATAAAGTAAGTTGCGTCTAGCGGTTTCTTAGCGTCATAAGAGCTCTTTAATCACAGCCAATCTGTTTTTAAAAACTTCAAGGCTGTTGATAGTTTTCACTTCATTGATGTTGATTATGAGTATATCATAGGAAAGTAATGCAAGTGGGTGTTTTTCCCTGACGAGGGAACTGACCCCAAAGGTTTTTTTACTGATTACAGAAGAAGAATTTACTCTATTAGATATATTACGATAATATTCTTAACCCTTTAACTCCCAAGATTTAATTAGCAATTCTCCTTACTCTCTGCCATACAATTCATTTGATGTTAGTTTGGAGAATTTGCAATTGGATTAACCAATAGTCCCCTAATTGATATTTTTCTTTATTCTCATTACTTCTCTGCTTGATATTATATTGATAGTGTACGGAGAAATTCTGTCTAGGTCACCAGGGGGGCTTAAAGGGTTAATTTTTGAAAAAAAAAACATGTTCATGATTCCTTGCCATAATAGGGCCATTACACTTAAAGTATCGATACTCTACCGGCCAATAGAAATATAAGGCTCTTAGGTTCACTTTCTTTCACTGAGCTTTGTCGCCATTAACGGAGTGTGTGTGGGGTGTGGGTTACCTAAGTTCCCCCAATTTCCTCTCCCAACCTTTTATTTATTTCTCGAGGGTCTGACTTCTTTCTTTAAATATTTTTCAGTCAAAAAAGACTGACTCACTGGTGTCGTCTCATCGTGAAGAGTTCGTCACTCTTGGAAGAACATTACCAATCATGGTCGTACGTTTTAAAAACGGGTAAGACTTGTTTTATAACAGGCTAAACTTGTTCTAACGTTTAAGCGGAGGCTTTTTTTTTATGGGTATTTTTGGCTGTGAGGACATTTCTCCATCCATAAGCTACAAAGGTTTTGGCAAACGACCGAGTTTTTCCACGTCCATAACGTAGGCGTAGCTGACCTGATAAACCCTGCGTTTGTTAACAAAACTTCACATTTATGGAAAAGAAAAGTGATTACATAGAGACTGCGACTTCAAGATAAAGTCTCCTACAGCCTTCTTCGCCCTCTTCAAGTGGTTGAAAATGAGGCAAAGCTAATAAACCCCGAAGCAAAGTAAAGTACCTCTTTAAAACTATGCTGAGAGTTTGACCTACTCATCTCACTAGTTGTAAGTGTATAATCAGATTCGTTATATGAGGGAGAAATATACTATATTTTTTATTCGATTCTCTGTTATGATCATCATCTGACTCAACTGTTTACTATTTTCCAGGAATGAATGAGGCTTTAGAACACTTGGATCGCCTCAATGAGTATAATTTCCATATCCCTGAAGATTTGGCCATAAGACATCTAACCAAGATAAATGACGCCTTTGGAGACACTTGACTACTGACTGAATGTAAATGAATCAGTTCACTTGATCTGAGAATGGAAAAAAATATTAAAAGGCAATTTTCTTTAAGAACTCTGGGAACGTTTGACTGAGAAAATTGATGAGCTTATGTAGTGATATTATTTTGTGGTCCAGTTTATTTCATTTGCTATCTAACAAATCTGCTATGAAACTCAGGTTCAAAATATCGTTTTTCTTGGGATAGTAACTCTATGTACATATTTATTTTGCAGTATAGAAATCTGCTTTTGTACGTTTTACCTTTTTATGTATGTTTTGTTCACGATTATTGTCTTTGATTCAATGCTACTATTTTTCTTTACTTTCGCTCACCTAAAAATGGTGCGTTTATTCAACAGAAAATTATCGTCATGAACAATTACCCTTTTGTTTCTAAGAAGACTGTTGGCAAATTGAAAGATGCACAAATAAATAACTATAATTAAGCTTATGTTTATATCTTTAAAGAGAAACTATTTAAATCATTGACTCAACCGTAAAACTTTCCTCTTAAGAAATTATTATGGATTGCTGAAGAACGGGGTATTTTAAAATAAATTCATATATATCAATAGAATGTACAGTAATACTGTTGGTAGTAAATATAATTGATGTAACATTAATGACAAATCGCTTTCCTGAGAGGAGAAATTCACATCCTAAAGTGCAATAATATGGCAGGAAAATACAGTTGGAATACAGATATGGACTCATGATATTGCTTCTTGTACAGTAAACGTAGAGGCTGCTAAAATCTCTCTCAGCGTTTTTGTTTTTGTGGCTATTTATGAAAGTTCACTAACATTCCCGCGAAGATCTTTTGACCCCATGTCGAAATGCAGTGGACTAGTAAAGGGAATAAAGGGAAAGTTTACCCGAACGTTCTGTAAAAAAAAGAAACAACAAATACGAGTGTCATTTTAAACGAAGACAGCTTTAAACCCGAACTTTGTTATCCAGTATAACGCTGCTTTTTCCGCGAACGAAATAATAGTTTTGTTCTATTAGGGCAATGAAAAATCTAAAGTAAGACTGTGCTCGCAATTTGAATTTTTTTTTTGCGAAACTAAGTTGATTTCAACGATTTAATTTTCAACTCGTGAATTCTGATATCAAGAAAAGGTCGCATTTACCTACACAGCTGGCCATCATGTGGACAATCTTATCAAACCCTACAGTTGCTTCTCAAAATCGTATCCTTGGTTAATGACAAGTCGATCACTTAAGCTCGGGCCTCTTCAAACCAATCGCGCTGACTAGTCCAACTCAATTTTTCTTTCTTTAACTTTGATTGGGCGATATTAGAGCTTGATTTGCGCCTCAAATAACATGGTTCGACCGCCATCGGAAAGGAGGCTGACAACCTGAGGGCTTTTTGGTGTGAACGACTTGTTAGAGAAGAACTCGAATCTAACGCGGAAGCAAGTGAGGAAGACGAGAGTGAAGACGATTTTGAATGAATTAAGAACAATTAATATCTTAGCAGATGACGATAATTTACGGTAGTTGTTGACGTACATAAAAAAAGCTTTTTCATGAGGTATTAAGCAGAAGGCTGTAAAATGTATACCACTGGCGTAGATTTTGATATTGGTATTTGCACATAGCCACCCTGTGTGGGAGATCATTAAAATTACAACTACCAATGAGTGGGGTCACTATGATACAATAAAGAGAGGATCAGGGATATTTTAATGTGACAAGACTAAAATCCTCTGGACCTCCTGGCCTCCCTCCCGGCCTGCCCTCCGCCGATGAATATAGAAGTTCCTTTACAATCAAGATTAAAGTGAGACCGATAAGGTCAACAAGAACATCGATATCGCCAAGTGAATAAACCCAATATGGCCGAAGACTATGATCCATGTTGCTTAAGGTTATTATAGATAACGACAGCGGGTCGCAAATGCAATTTTAGGGGGTGATGTATATAGACATCTCCACCAAACTCTGTTTGGAAACTTTAGCTAACAGAGGAAACAAATTTATCCTGGCAGAACGAAATATGAGACCCCTTTCAGGGATGGATGTTTAATTAGTTTTTTTCTATTTATCTATTGGTTAAAAGTTTCGGGTCATTCGAGATAAACTTTGTTTGGCAGAGAACATATGACTTAAACCAAAAACTTACGCAATAAGTGAACATTTTCTCTTTTTAATTATAGTCAATTACTACCAATTCACGTCAATGTAAATGTAACAAAACGAATTGCATGATATAATTTACACAGAAAAATATTTAAAAAACTCAGTATTTTACTTTCTGGTTAAACCGTGTTTGTCTAGTTCAACTCGGACTGGCCACAGCGAGGATAAATGTCTTCAGTTCGATTACTTACGTTGACTGGTTGAATGTTTGGACAAGTTGTAGGAGTAGGACTTATCCACGCCGAATCCAACAGGCCTACTGGCCGCCGTAAAACACATCAAGGTATTTGCTCCAGCTGGCACGCCTTCCTGTCGAACTCTTTTTTCACTATGCAAAACGCAACCAAGGGGAACAGTGCTATCTTTGTCTGTGGTGTTTTTCCTCATCCCTGGCATCAAAGGATATGCAGTGAACAATGGCTTTAAAAGAGTAGTGCTCCCTTCGTCTTTGGTGCCGTTGCGAAGAGAATTTCTCCATGAAGGTTTAGGGTTTGATGATGCAGTTGACTCGCTCTTCATAGTTTCTTCATCCTGAGATATCTGTGATGAGACAAGCCATCTGTACTCTGGTACGTTGGATGAACGTTTCAAAACGCTTCGAGACTGATGTTGAAATTTATCGGTCGAGGACAACTTCTCTGGAGTTTTCGAACTTTGGTTCGGAGCGCAGCTATCTTCGTCGCTTCTGCGACATTTTTCTTCATTTTCCACTGAACCGCCATGCTCTTTCCGCTCCCTTACGTTTTTAGCATTTGTTTTTGACGCATAGATTGCCGTTTGGTCCTTTATCGATGCTACTTTCGAGTTGAACGAGCCCATTCTGTATCGGACTGTTAACAGCTCAGGGCGGACTTGTGTTATGGCGCTTAGTAATTCTCCGTATGTGGAGTAATTATCACCCCTTTGTGATACCGTCCACGTGTTTGATTACCGCATAAACGCTTTTGAGATGAGCGCAAATTAAAAGGTTCTTCCGACGTCAAACTGCTCCCAATAGTTATTTTGCATCGGTAAACATAAGCTCAATAGAACGGTAACTACTTTTAATTTGTGCACGGTAATGAACTAGACAGAAAACTAGATGTTTTTCGGTCCTGTCACGAGCGTAGAGCAGAAAATAATTCTGAGTACTCATGAGGAATAGACTTTCAGACCTTCAGATACCATGAAGAAAAAATCATTACATCCCCCCCAAACAACAACAGCAACTTCCCCCAATCATGGGCTAAGTTTTGTAATGTCCACTAAAGCAATAGTACAAAAAAAAGAAAATAACTTTTGAAATAACTATGATAATCGAGAAAATTTGCTGATTCATGTGACTGAAAGAGATATCATATCAAGAAATTGAAATTTTCAAGGAATGATCATGAAAAGAACACTCCGCTCTACTTCATGACGTAGTTCAATTTGCTGCGTAAGAGGGGTGTTAGCGTCGGCGAGTTCAGAAGTAGAAAGCGCTGCGCAACTTTGCGCGACATGCTTTTATTGGGGATAGAATCATGATCAGTTCTTTAGCTGTTTCAAATAAGCAAATACTTGTGTCGCCTGCCATGAACTAGGTTATAAAACTGTTTAATGCAACTGAATTGGCGTTACCAGCAAGAGCCGTATGAGAAATCGTACTACTGGTGCTATGCATGTCCACGATACACACACACACACACAAAAAAGGGTACGAGATAGATTCTGGAAATGAATCGCAATGTAAGGTGCATAAATCCAACCATTACGAGAGAGTCATTTCGTGAGACCAGATGTGCCCTTCCCTGACAGTTTGCTGCACATGATTGTCCCAGTGTCGTACCATTTTTCATACTGATTCGCCATAAAGACGTTAACTTTCAGCCTTTGGAAATAGCCTAAATAGTAAGCAGGGAGAACGACACAAGATTTCTACATAGGGTGAGTGCAGGCGATTTGCAATTAATCAGGCAAGATTCCACCACTATCTGGGACTTTCTAAAATTAAAATTGTAGATTTCGCGGTACGAGCATCACTGATGGAAAACAAAGATTCACTGTCAAGGGTTGTTTCAGAATGCCAGTTCTGATCACTGGAGATGGAAAGTACTGACTTAAATAAACGATTAAAACGATGAAGCGAAAGACGTCACATTTACAACGTAAATATTTTTATTTTAGAGCTGAGCCAGTTCATTTAGTTATTTTCGATCAAAGTAAATACTTGAGAGTGAAAGTCCCTTTCGTTAGGATAACATCAGAATTTTTGTTTGTTTGATATAAATAAACAAGATACCGTTCGTGTTTATTTTTCTGTTCATTCATGCATCAGATTAAAAAAAATTGCTTCACAACACATGTGCAACTTACAATTAAATGAACTTAAAAGTACCTTTTAAACATTACATACAAACAATTTATTCAAAGAAATTGAACCGATATTTTTGCCTTCCTCCGTGTTACTTTGAAGTTTTAAAAATTGGATCTAGACCTCAACACTCGTACTCAACCCTTTCATATACATTAGCGCGTTAAGTTCGCCCTTTTCTATGGAAACATACACTTTCTCTCTTCATTTTTCTCCTTTGTGGTACGAACTGTCTGCCATGGACTAGAAGAATCATTTTGGTGAGAAATTTGCTTCTCGATTACACCAAACCCGACTGGAAGATTTCCACCACGGGATGAAGAAGCGTCTCCGTTATTTGCCTGTTTTGTGCTTCTATTCCCTGTCTTCTCGTAACTATTGACGCATGTTTTGGGATGTTTGGTCAGATTACTGTTGTTCGCTTCAATGGTTGAACAAGAAGAAGCGTTGTTTTGCTGTTTTCGTTTCATACTGGTTGATGGTAACTCAATAGGCTGTTGCCAGGAATTCAGATATTTTGCATGACTGTATTTCCGAATGCAATTGGTATTTCGTGTCTCTTTTTGCCGCTTGCCCTTTGCTTTCAGATCTTTTGTTGTGGTGTTCAAAACAACTGGTGACGAAGCTAGCCATGAAAATGATTGACCCACCTTCGGAGCCCCTTGTTGTTCATGGTTTGTGGCAGTTGTGTTTGATTCCGTGGCTCTATTCGCGGCGTCTGCTTTTCCTGAAGCTGGGGAGTTCTCGCATGTTTCACCATTATTAGTTATCGAATGATGTTCGTCCTCGATTCCTCGACTCGTTTCTTCTTGCGACGTTTTGCGAAAATTGCCACCATCACGAATCAATCGCATTTTGGTGCTAAATGATCCCATTTTTTGCAATTCTTTCAACTGCGACTGAATTTTGTTATCTGAGTAATGATTTGAACCAAACAGATCTTTTGACGCAAACTGACAAATGACGTCACTTTACAGGACGGGTGATTTCATAGTCTCAATTTTAGTCCCTCGCTATCCTTCCACTAGAGAGTGACTCCAAAATTTAAGAAACTGGGTTCAAGAGAGGACAGAATTCTGACTCAGAATTGACAGCTCAGCTTAGTTAAGTACTGAGCTACCTCAAAAATTATCTGCGTAGCCCTAACACTGGCCACTGATTGATAGGTTCGGTTTAAAAGATCAAGTGCTCCGACTACCCAGCCCTACGGAGATACTGGCATGAGCCTCGGCACGT